CTCTGCCTATTTGCTTTTGTGTTGATGACAGATTTCCAGTCAACTCCATCCTGGCCAGAATATGTCGTCTATTTCTGGCTTTTCTCCTTAGTGTGTGAAGAGGCCCGTCAGGTATTGTTGCACAAATCAATACAATATTGCTCTTTAGCTTCAGACTGTTACTTGACCTTGACCGCTTGGAGACATTGCATTACCATTTCCATCCTTATTGGGATGGAAATGTCAGATGCAGGTAGCCAGATGTTACACAATGGATTCCTAGTAGAGGCTATGAACTCTATAGAATAAGATACAGCTAACCATATCTGACAATTCCCAGTGAGGTTGAAACCAGTAATGTTGTGCTTGATAGTGCTCAATATAATTGAAAATACCTCAGAGGACATGCTCCATGTAAAAATAGGGAACTCATGTGAAATGCCTATACATGGAAGCATGACATATATAGTATTTGTATCTATCTTAAGGAAGGTGGCCTGTATATGTCATTTTGAGATGTTATTGATTGTTCTATATGGTAGGAAAGTTTTCTCTGTAAATGGGGGGAAAAACCTACCTAACCATTTAAAGACAATGCATTCAATATCCTAATTCAAAATCAGATGAACCCATGGGCTGCTTTTAGTGCAATAAAAACTGATTTAACAACTTCAGAAATCTTTTTTAGACGAGTGCATGAGATGGGAGAAGAGGGAGCACTCAAGCTTATTTTCTTTTCAATATGCTGTAGGGATCACAATGTCTGAACCAACCCATGGTAAATCCTTTTCCCCTTCCCCCCCCCCCTCTCTCTTCTTTCTTTCTTCAGCTTTTTTGTGATCCTGATGGGTTTGGCTTGGTCAAAATGGCTTCTTTATATTTCAGTGATTTCTGGAATAAACTGGATGCATGTGCCATTCTGATCTTTATAGTTGGATTGGTCTGTAGGTAAGTCCCTATGTATGGTTATCCTATTTTTCAAAGAGAAAATTGGTGGAAGGTGGGAGGATTGTTTCATTATGCTAATTACAATTTTTCAAAAATCTACCTGATAAAATGTATAAAAGAAAAAGTAATCAAAATGCAAATAATTTCACCCAGTTTCTTTTGCTGCAAATGCCTTAAGATCAGATTTAGGTTTATATCACATTCTTTCAACCTGTGCCTTAGAATTCAAATCCTTTCATTTTAACTCTACATATGAGGACGTTTCATTTATATGCAATTCCCCTTTGTTAGCTCTTTGATCAGTTGGACAGAGAATTGTCCTGAATATATAGCCTTTCTGGCTAGTCTTTTCCTATAAGAGATTTACTATCCTGTTAATCCACAATTTCTCTGAGTCTTTTTCATATTTTGGTTAATATGCTAAGCATGCCATGAAATATTGCTGTAGAGGGAATGTATGCATAATCCTCTTTGTGTGAACGATTGTTTACCTTAAGAAAAAATATTACTTCACTCGGCAACCTTTGGCAACAAAGATGTCCTTATAATTAAGACCAGGGATCTTTGGGAACCTCGCCCCAATGTTACATTGGTAATACAATTAATATATGTATTTTTGTTTCTATCCTTTGCACTAAGATGGTTCCCAGCAACTTTGTACCCTGGAAGAATTGTACTATCCCTAGCTTTCATTATTTTCTGCCTGCGTCTATTGCACATATTCACGATCAGTACAACTCTTGGGCCCAAGATTATTATAGTGAAGAGAATGGTAAGTTGTAGTTTCTATTGATAAGACACCATGGAAACTTAAAAGTAATTTTTCATAATTCACTTTTTTCCCGATGATGATGCCTGAATCTTTCTG